GACTCCTGAATCGAGCACGGAAGAGTTCATCGGACGTCGCGCTCGCTTCTTTCGCCACCGATTCCGATTTCCGTTCGGTGGTGGATTTCGGTACGGATGGCGGTACCCACTCGGCTACTGGAACACGATCGGTCGCCCCATTTACGGTCCGAGATGTGTGTTTGGCCGTCCTTTCGGAGGTTTCTTCTACTGCTAAGTCGAAGTCGAACGATGTCGTCAAGTCCAGACAAATCGCAATGAGGACCGAGCTGGACAAGCTGGTCGATGCTCCCCCCCATTCTGGACAAACCGCACTGAATATCGGGCTGGAAAGTCGACGTTAAGTTTAGACTAGCCACACTTACCGGTACAGACGCAGTAGCGTCTTGAATACCAATTGCAGTTGATCGGATCACGTCTCGATTGCGGTTATGTCGCACAGCCAGATTGAAACTCGATACGGCAAACGAACGACAGAACGAACAACAGAACGAACAGAAAAGTCGGCAAATCTCGGTTCAAACGACGAACACCGACAACATACGAAAAAAGATTGATAGAAACTACACCATTCTATCCGCAGCAGAAACATGTCCAACAAGCGTACCGTGGGCAAGTACCTCGGCAATTGTGTAAGCAAAGTGGAACATGCCATACGCGTCAGTAGCCTGGCGTCGTATCGTTCAACGTGATCATACATTCACTCCTTCAGACCGCATTCTTTGTCTGCTGTGTTAGCTGTCAACATACTCTTCACTGCCGTTCGTCGTTGTACCTTGTTGCACGCGTTTGGCAGACAGCTCAGAGTCATCATCATCATCATCATCATCGTCATCATCATCATCATCATCGTCATCGTCATCGTCATCGTCATCGTCATCGTCATCATCATGTAGGTAGTTCAGTCGACGGATACAAAATAACGTGCTTGTGAAGCATCTTGTCGAGGTATTTATTCGTACACTGGCGCCGTTTTGACAAGCACTTTTCTAGGATCGACGAATCCGGGCGATTCCGCGAAAGATGGAGGGCGTTTCCGCGAAACGGGCGATATCTGCGGACGTACAACGCAATCCACTCACACACCGATTCGCGCGTTGGATCAATAGTCGACCCTTTACCACCAAGACACCTTCTCTCCTCCTACGTGAAGACAAGATGATCAAGCGTTCGATCTTCACTGCACTGCTTCTCGTCCTGCTTGGAGTTGCCACCTGCGCCTTTGCGAGCACGGAGTCCGCTAACGAGCTGGAGCAGCTTCCGTCTGGCGTCGATCTGGTCGGCGACCAGGAACCAATCGCTGACACGACTCCTGAATCGAGCACGGAAGAGTTCATCGGACGTCGCGCTCGCTTCTTTCGCCACCGATTCCGATTTCCGTTCGGTGGTGGATTTCGGTACGGATGGCGGTACCCACTCGGCTACTGGAACACGATCGGTCGCCCCATTTACGGTCCGAGATGTGTGTTTGGCCGTCCTTTCGGAGGTTTCTTCTACTGCTAAGTCGAAGTCGAACGATGTCGTCAAGTCCAGACAAATCGCAATGAGGACCGAGCTGGACAAGCTGGTCGATGCTCCCCCCCATTCTGGACAAACCGCACTGAATATCGGGCTGGAAAGTCGACGTTAAGTTTAGACCAGCCACACTTACCGGTACAGACGCAGTAGCGTCTTGAATACCAATTGCAGTTGATCGGATCACGTCTCGATTGCGGTTATGTCGGACAGCCAGATTGAAACTCGATACGGCAAACGAACGACAGAACGAACAACAGAACGAACAACAGAACGAAAGTCGGCAAATCTCGGTTCAAACGACGAACACCGACAACATACGAAAAAAGATTGATAGAAACTACACCATTCTATCCGCAGCAGAAACATGTCCAACAAGCGTACCGTGGGCAAGTACCTCGGCAATTGTGTAAGCAAAGTGGAACATGCCATACGCGTCAGTAGCCTGGCGTCGTATCGTTCAACGTGATCATACATTCACTCCTTCAGACCGCATTCTTTGTCTGCTGTGTTAGCTGTCAACATACTCTTCACTGCCGTTCGTCGTTGTACCTTGTTGCACGCGTTTGGCAGACAGCTCAGAGTCATCATCATCATCATCATCATCATCATCATCATCATCGTCATCGTCATCGTCATCGTCATCGTCATCGTCATCATCATGTAGGTAGTTCAGTCGACGGATACAAAATAACGTGCTTGTGAAGCATCTTGTCGAGGTATTTATTCGTACACTGGCGCCGTTTTGACAAGCACCTTTCTAGGATCGACGAATCCGGGCGATTCCGCGAAAGATGGAGGGCGTTTCCGCGAAACGGGCGATATCTGCGGACGTACAACGCAATCCACTCACACACCGATTCGCGCGTTGGATCAATAGTCGACCCTTTACCACCAAGACACCTTCTCTCCTCCTACGTGAAGACAAGATGATCAAGCGTTCGATCTTCACTGCACTGCTTCTCGTCCTCCTTGGAGTTGCCACCTGCGCCTTTGCGAGCACGGAGTCCGCTAACGAGCTGGAGCAGCTTCCGTCTGGCGTCGATCTGGTCGGCGACCAGGAACCAATCGCTGACACGACTCCTGAATCGAGCACGGAAGAGTTCATCGGACGTCGCGCTCGCTTCTTTCGCCACCGATTCCGATTTCCGTTCGGTGGTGGATTTCGGTACGGATGGCGGTACCCACTCGGCTACTGGAACACGATCGGTCGCCCCATTTACGGTCCGAGATGTGTGTTTGGCCGTCCTTTCGGAGGTTTCTTCTACTGCTAAGTCGAAGTCGAACGATGTCGTCAAGTCCAGACAAATCGCAATGAGGACCGAGCTGGACAAGCTGGTCGATGCTCCCCCCCATTCTGGACAAACCGCACTGAATATCGGGCTGGAAAGTCGACGTTAAGTTTAGACCAGCCACACTTACCGGTACAGACGCAGTAGCGTCTTGAATACCAATTGCAGTTGATCGGATCACGTCTCGATTGCAGTTATGTCGGACAGCCAGATTGAAACTCGATACGGCAAACGAACGACAGAACGAACAACAGAACGAACAACAGAACGAACAGTCGGCAAATCTCGGTTCAAACGACGAACACCGACAACATACGAAAAAAGATTGATAGAAACTACACCATTCTATCCGCAGCAGAAACATGTCCAACAAGCGTACCGTGGGCAAGTACCTCGGCAATTGTGTAAGCAAAGTGGAACATGCCATACGCGTCAGTAGCCTGGCGTCGTATCGTTCAACGTGATCATACATTCACTCCTTCAGACCGCATTCTTTGTCTGCTGTGTTAGCTGTCAACATACTCTTCACTGCCGTTCGTCGTTGTACCTTGTTGCACGCGTTTGGCAGACAGCTCAGAGTCATCATCATCATCATCATCATCGTCATCATCATCATCGTCATCGTCATCGTCATCGTCATCGTCATCGTCATCGTCATCATCATCATGTAGGTAGTTCAGTCGACGGATACAAAATAACGTGCTTGTGAACCATCTTGTCGAGGTATTTATTCGTACACTGGCGCCGTTTTGACAAGCACCTTTCTAGGATCGACGAATCCGGGCGATTCCGCGAAAGATGGAGGGCGTTTCCGCGAAACGGGCGATATCTGCGGACGTACAACGCAATCCACTCACACACCGATTCGCGCGTTGGATCAATAGTCGACCCTTTACCACCAAGACACCTTCTCTCCTCCTACGTGAAGACAAGATGATCAAGCGTTCGATCTTCGCTGCACTGCTTCTCGTCCTGCTTGGAGTTGCCACCTGCGCCTTTGCGAGCACGGAGTCCGCTAACGAGCTGGAGCAGCTTCCGTCTGGCGTCGATCTGGTCGGCGACCAGGAACCAATCGCTGACACGACTCCTGAATCGAGCACGGAAGAGTTCATCGGACGTCGCGCTCGCTTCTTTCGCCACCGATTCCGATTTCCGTTCGGTGGTGGATTTCGGTACGGATGGCGGTACCCACTCGGCTACTGGAACACGATCGGTCGCCCCATTTACGGTCCGAGATGTGTGTTTGGCCGTCCTTTCGGAGGTTTCTTCTACTGCTAAGTCGAAGTCGAACGATGTCGTCAAGTCCAGACAAATCGCAATGAGGACCGAGCTGGACAAGCTGGTCGATGCTCCCCCCCATTCTGGACAAACCGCACTGAATATCGGGCTGGAAAGTCGACGTTAAGTTTAGACTAGCCACACTTACCGGTACAGACGCAGTAGCGTCTTGAATACCAATTGCAGTTGATCGGATCACGTCTCGATTGCGGTTATGTCGCACAGCCAGATTGAAACTCGATACGGCAAACGAACGACAGAACGAACAACAGAACGAACAGTCGGCAAATCTCGGTTCAAACGACGAACACCGACAACATACGAAAAAAGATTGATAGAAACTACACCATTCTATCCGCAGCAGAAACATGTCCAACAAGCGTACCGTGGGCAAGTACCTCGGCAATTGTGTAAGCAAAGTGGAACATGCCATACGCGTCAGTAGCCTGGCGTCGTATCGTTCAACGTGATCATACATTCACTCCTTCAGACCGCATTCTTTGTCTGCTGTGTTAGCTGTCAACATACTCTTCACTGCCGTTCGTCGTTGTACCTTGTTGCACGCGTTTGGCAGACAGCTCAGAGTCATCATCATCATCATCATCATCGTCATCATCATCATCGTCATCGTCATCGTCATCGTCATCGTCATCGTCATCGTCATCATCATGTAGGTAGTTCAGTCGACGGATACAAAATAACGTGCTTGTGAACCATCTTGTCGAGGTATTTATTCGTACACTGGCGCCGTTTTGACAAGCACCTTTCTAGGATCGACGAATCCGGGCGATTCCGCGAAAGATGGAGGGCGTTTCCGCGAAACGGGCGATATCTGCGGACGTACAACGCAATCCACTCACACACCGATTCGCGCGTTGGATCAATAGTCGACCCTTTACCACCAAGACACCTTCTCTCCTCCTACGTGAAGACAAGATGATCAAGCGTTCGATCTTCGCTGCACTGCTTCTCGTCCTGCTTGGAGTTGCCACCTGCGCCTTTGCGAGCACGGAGTCCGCTAACGAGCTGGAGCAGCTTCCGTCTGGCGTCGATCTGGTCGGCGACCAGGAACCAATCGCTGACACGACTCCTGAATCGAGCACGGAAGAGTTCATCGGACGTCGCGCTCGCTTCTTTCGCCACCGATTCCGATTTCCGTTCGGTGGTGGATTTCGGTACGGATGGCGGTACCCACTCGGCTACTGGAACACGATCGGTCGCCCCATTTACGGTCCGAGATGTGTGTTTGGCCGTCCTTTCGGAGGTTTCTTCTACTGCTAAGTCGAAGTCGAACGATGTCGTCAAGTCCAGACAAATCGCAATGAGGACCGAGCTGGACAAGCTGGTCGATGCTCCCCCCCATTCTGGACAAACCGCACTGAATATCGGGCTGGAAAGTCGACGTTAAGTTTAGACTAGCCACACTTACCGGTACAGACGCAGTAGCGTCTTGAATACCAATTGCAGTTGATCGGATCACGTCTCGATTGCGGTTATGTCGCACAGCCAGATTGAAACTCGATACGGCAAACGAACGACAGAACGAACAACAGAACGAACAGTCGGCAAATCTCGGTTCAAACGACGAACACCGACAACATACGAAAAAAGATTGATAGAAACTACACCATTCTATCCGCAGCAGAAACATGTCCAACAAGCGTACCGTGGGCAAGTACCTCGGCAATTGTGTAAGCAAAGTGGAACATGCCATACGCGTCAGTAGCCTGGCGTCGTATCGTTCAACGTGATCATACATTCACTCCTTCAGACCGCATTCTTTGTCTGCTGTGTTAGCTGTCAACATACTCTTCACTGCCGTTCGTCGTTGTACCTTGTTGCACGCGTTTGGCAGACAGCTCAGAGTCATCATCATCATCATCATCATCATCGTCATCATCATCGTCATCGTCATCGTCATCGTCATCGTCATCGTCATCGTCATCATCATGTAGGTAGTTCAGTCGACGGATACAAAATAACGTGCTTGTGAACCATCTTGTCGAGGTATTTATTCGTACACTGGCGCCGTTTTGACAAGCACCTTTCTAGGATCGACGAATCCGGGCGATTCCGCGAAAGATGGAGGGCGTTTCCGCGAAACGGGCGATATCTGCGGACGTACAACGCAATCCACTCACACACCGATTCGCGCGTTGGATCAATAGTCGACCCTTTACCACCAAGACACCTTCTCTCCTCCTACGTGAAGACAAGATGATCAAGCGTTCGATCTTCGCTGCACTGCTTCTCGTCCTGCTTGGAGTTGCCACCTGCGCCTTTGCGAGCACGGAGTCCGCTAACGAGCTGGAGCAGCTTCCGTCTGGCGTCGATCTGGTCGGCGACCAGGAACCAATCGCTGACACGACTCCTGAATCGAGCACGGAAGAGTTCATCGGACGTCGCGCTCGCTTCTTTCGCCACCGATTCCGATTTCCGTTCGGTGGTGGATTTCGGTACGGATGGCGGTACCCACTCGGCTACTGGAACACGATCGGTCGCCCCATTTACGGTCCGAGATGTGTGTTTGGCCGTCCTTTCGGAGGTTTCTTCTACTGCTAAGTCGAAGTCGAACGATGTCGTCAAGTCCAGACAAATCGCAATGAGGACCGAGCTGGACAAGCTGGTCGATGCTCCCCCCCATTCTGGACAAACCGCACTGAATATCGGGCTGGAAAGTCGACGTTAAGTTTAGACTAGCCACACTTACCGGTACAGACGCAGTAGCGTCTTGAATACCAATTGCAGTTGATCGGATCACGTCTCGATTGCGGTTATGTCGCACAGCCAGATTGAAACTCGATACGGCAAACGAACGACAGAACGAACAACAGAACGAACAAGAAAAGTCGGCAAATCTCGGTTCAAACGACGAACACCGACAACATACGAAAAAAGATTGATAGAAACTACACCATTCTATCCGCAGCAGAAACATGTCCAACAAGCGTACCGTGGGCAAGTACCTCGGCAATTGTGTAAGCAAAGTGGAACATGCCATACGCGTCAGTAGCCTGGCGTCGTATCGTTCAACGTGATCATACATTCACTCCTTCAGACCGCATTCTTTGTCTGCTGTGTTAGCTGTCAACATACTCTTCACTGCCGTTCGTCGTTGTACCTTGTTGCACGCGTTTGGCAGACAGCTCAGAGTCATCATCATCATCATCATCATCATCATCATCATCGTCATCGTCATCGTCATCGTCATCGTCATCGTCATCGTCATCATCATGTAGGTAGTTCAGTCGACGGATACAAAATAACGTGCTTGTGAACCATCTTGTCGAGGTATTTATTCGTACACTGGCGCCGTTTTGACAAGCACCTTTCTAGGATCGACGAATCCGGGCGATTCCGCGAAAGATGGAGGGCGTTTCCGCGAAACGGGCGATATCTGCGGACGTACAACGCAATCCACTCACACACCGATTCGCGCGTTGGATCAATAGTCGACCCTTTACCACCAAGACACCTTCTCTCCTCCTACGTGAAGACAAGATGATCAAGCGTTCGATCTTCGCTGCACTGCTTCTCGTCCTGCTTGGAGTTGCCACCTGCGCCTTTGCGAGCACGGAGTCCGCTAACGAGCTGGAGCAGCTTCCGTCTGGCGTCGATCTGGTCGGCGACCAGGAACCAATCGCTGACACGACTCCTGAATCGAGCACGGAAGAGTTCATCGGACGTCGCGCTCGCTTCTTTCGCCACCGATTCCGATTTCCGTTCGGTGGTGGATTTCGGTACGGATGGCGGTACCCACTCGGCTACTGGAACACGATCGGTCGCCCCATTTACGGTCCGAGATGTGTGTTTGGCCGTCCTTTCGGAGGTTTCTTCTACTGCTAAGTCGAAGTCGAACGATGTCGTCAAGTCCAGACAAATCGCAATGAGGACCGAGCTGGACAAGCTGGTCGATGCTCCCCCCCATTCTGGACAAACCGCACTGAATATCGGGCTGGAAAGTCGACGTTAAGTTTAGACTAGCCACACTTACCGGTACAGACGCAGTAGCGTCTTGAATACCAATTGCAGTTGATCGGATCACGTCTCGATTGCGGTTATGTCGCACAGCCAGATTGAAACTCGATACGGCAAACGAACGACAGAACGAACAACAGAACGAACAGAAAAGTCGGCAAATCTCGGTTCAAACGACGAACACCGACAACATACGAAAAAAGATTGATAGAAACTACACCATTCTATCCGCAGCAGAAACATGTCCAACAAGCGTACCGTGGGCAAGTACCTCGGCAATTGTGTAAGCAAAGTGGAACATGCCATACGCGTCAGTAGCCTGGCGTCGTATCGTTCAACGTGATCATACATTCACTCCTTCAGACCGCATTCTTTGTCTGCTGTGTTAGCTGTCAACATACTCTTCACTGCCGTTCGTCGTTGTACCTTGTTGCACGCGTTTGGCAGACAGCTCAGAGTCATCATCATCATCATCATCATCGTCATCATCATCATCATCATCGTCATCGTCATCGTCATCGTCATCGTCATCGTCATCATCATGTAGGTAGTTCAGTCGACGGATACAAAATAACGTGCTTGTGAAGCATCTTGTCGAGGTATTTATTCGTACACTGGCGCCGTTTTGACAAGCACTTTTCTAGGATCGACGAATCCGGGCGATTCCGCGAAAGATGGAGGGCGTTTCCGCGAAACGGGCGATATCTGCGGACGTACAACGCAATCCACTCACACACCGATTCGCGCGTTGGATCAATAGTCGACCCTTTACCACCAAGACACCTTCTCTCCTCCTACGTGAAGACAAGATGATCAAGCGTTCGATCTTCGCTGCACTGCTTCTCGTCCTGCTTGGAGTTGCCACCTGCGCCTTTGCGAGCACGGAGTCCGCTAACGAGCTGGAGCAGCTTCCGTCTGGCGTCGATCTGGTCGGCGACCAGGAACCAATCGCTGACACGACTCCTGAATCGAGCACGGAAGAGTTCATCGGACGTCGCGCTCGCTTCTTTCGCCACCGATTCCGATTTCCGTTCGGTGGTGGATTTCGGTACGGATGGCGGTACCCACTCGGCTACTGGAACACGATCGGTCGCCCCATTTACGGTCCGAGATGTGTGTTTGGCCGTCCTTTCGGAGGTTTCTTCTACTGCTAAGTCGAAGTCGAACGATGTCGTCAAGTCCAGACGAATCGCAATGAGGACCGAGCTGGACAAGCTGGTCGATGCTCCCCCCGTTCTGGACAAACCGCACTGAATATCGGGCTGGAAAGTCGACGTTAAGTTTAGACTAGCCACACTTACCGGTACAGACGCAGTAGCGTCTTGAATACCAATTGCAGTTGATCGGATCACGTCT